TGTGACAATCAAAATGTCCAACAATGATTCATTGTGCAAACGTGATTACGGTGATAAGATTATATTTCTTTTCGTTTGATAAAGAGTGTTTCACAGGATGAAGATATAGATGGAAGATAAACACCGAGAAAGTTTTATTCATGTAAGCATCATTTATATTATATGTCATTAATCACACATAAATGAACCTGTGCAATTATTAAGATTGCACAAAGCATGGCGAGGAATCTTCTGTCTAGTGATCTACAGCTGATCAAGGCTCTAGGGTTTATAGGTTTTACTTATCAGGGGCACATTTCACTAAATAATGTTGCAGTTATGATCCACCATTTCTGTTTTTCTGACATTAATCATAAAGAAGTAAGAATTAAATAAATGAACTACTTGCCATGATAACATTTAAATTTACTAGTCCAACTTGCTATTATTGAAAAGGTTCTTAGATAGATCTGATCCAAAACAAAATTTGCAAAATAATAAGGGCCAGGGAAAAGAAAAATACCTTTTAACTTCAAAAACGTGTACATGATGTCTTGACTGAACGTGCCCTATATAGATCACATAATTTTTGCTTCATATTGGACCCCAGAAATGATGAATACATCCAGCTTTTGTTTCCATAAAAACAGAGAAACTGGAGAGATGACCCATTAAGATCAAAAGTCAGCTGTATTTTATATGTTAATAATGATCGAAAAACTAAAATCTGTTCTAGTAAGACTGCATGGGATAATCTATCACTTAACACTTGCTTAATTGATGCATCATTCATTCATTGCATCCTTAATTATTAATACTGGTTACATAATAGATACACAAGCTTAAATTTCTATGCTATATCATCATAAAAAAGTTTCTATTCTTTACCAACAGCAACATATTCTTCACTTTGACTTTTTGATAAATAAAAATGAAAGTGGGAAAAACCCAAACACATCATATCATTAAAACTATACTTATGCCTTATGTCAGGGGAGCAGAAGTAGTTGTATGAGGGATATACCGGTACATGTAATAACTCGGGTTTTAAACTGATCACTCTGATGGGTTACATGCATTTTCTCTTGGCTAATTTGGACATCATGCCTGGATTGTTTACAAATAAAGAACACAAGAACAAAAATGAACCCTAAGCAGACAAAAATGAAAATCACTTTTACAGATAGCTACAGAATATGGTACATCTTTCTTCTTACTGAATTAGTTAATGTATCTCATTTTCTTGAATTTGGGAGTTTTTTTTTTCACATTTAGTCTTTTAACCCAGGTATTCTTGTTCTAGAACATCTGTAATAATTAATTTAGCTTAGAAATGAGGAGATTTAAAGATAAATGTATAGAACAATAAATATTGGGTGCATATTTTACTGTGAAACTTTTTTTAGTCTTTATCTTCGAGTCTATTCCTGCAGAAAGTACTTCGTTTGGAGTTTTTGACAACAGGCAAAAAGGCAATGAGAAATTAAGATGTTTTCTGAATTTTAAACCTAAGTAAAATAACAATGGAAAATGGATGCATATAATATTATTAAACAAACAAAGGTTTTCCTTATTTTCAATCTGTATATTTTTATGTCTTTCCCTACAGAAAGTACTTCGTATGGACTCTCCAACAGCAGACAATGAGAATGGCAGTAGTGGTGGATCTGAAGGGGTGGAGAAATTTGTGTTGGCAGTGGATATTGGTACCACCAGTTTACGAAGTCATATTTACAACAAACAAGGAAACATAAAAGGGGCCAGCAGTAAAAGGGTGAGACACGTCATTTTTGAAAACAGAGGGGAAGGGAGGAGTTGCGTGGACCTAAACCATAGAATTTTCTTTTTTTCTTTGAAATTTTTTTTGGCTTTTCATTGAATAAAGATTTCTCCTCCCATGAAAAAATCCTGATTCTGGTCATTAGCAATTTTCCACACCCCTTATGTACCCTGCCATTCACAGACAGTCTCTGAGATTAAATACTGTAACATCAAATCTTGAAAATAATGGGATATGATTTAGAATGACCAAAAGGTCATTTAATTACAATCTTGCATATCTATTTATGCATCCAGTTTAATAAACTGGGAGTTTTGGAATAAGGATAATGCATGCGACATACTTTTTTCTCCTGCAAGTTCACTGAAAATTATGATCTAGATTTCTTACCATCCTTACATGTATATAAGACAGAGTAATTGTGTATACTTTGATGTTAGGAAAATATTTTGAAAATTTCTGAATCTTCTAAGCCCATGAAAGATACACAATTAATAATTTTAATTATCATTGTAGATGAATAAGCTTATGTGCAACTATATGTGGAAAATGTTTCAGATTTTCATTATCTGAACTTTTTTCATTCAAGTGTTTTATTTCAAAAAATTATTTTTAGATACAACTTCTTCATCCTCAGCCTGGATGGTTTGAGATGGACCCCGATCTCCTGGTTAAACAAGTCATAGACAGTATCAAAGAGTCCATTAGAGGTTAATATTTTTTTTCCCAACATAATGTGTAGTGTTAATGTATATTATTAGGACCCCGCTCTGCTAGTGCCCTCTAGTGATCAGTCGATCCATGTCTGTCCATCTGTCCATCCAAAATCATTTGAGAATAGTTTCTCTCCCCATGCCCCAATTTGGATCATACTTAACCCATGGAGTACCTGGGGTAGAGGTTGTGTCATGAACTTGAACCAATTTTCGTATTCAAGGGTCAAGGTCAAAAAACACATCTGTGTAAAATCATTGACTAGAGCATATTTTCTATCCCTTTGTTTCAGTCTTGCTCAAATTTTACTCCTAAAGTTCTTGTGGAATAGGGGTGTGCAATGACCTGGAACTAATTTTCTACATTAAAGTTCAAGGTCATAGCAGATTTCTTTATGTAAAATCCTTGTCCTTAGCATATTTTCTCTCACCTTGGCCCAACTGGCCAACAATTCACCCATAGAGAGCTTGTGTGTGCTTCTTGAGAACCACTGGGTCAGAAAAAATGAAACTTGTGAGGCAGCTTCCTGAAATAGTGTAGAAGGTAGGGTGGAACCATACATACGGGATCAAACATGGAAATATGTAACCTGTATATGAACCTTTGCCCCATCTCGCTCATACATCATTCAAATAGTGCCTATGGGTGAAGATTTAAGTCAAAGGTCAAAGGTCAAACTCAAAATACAGCCTTTCATCCTAATGTCCTTTGCTAAAAGCAGGGCCCTTTGAGATGGTCACCATTTCAACGATATCTAGTTATATTATCCATTGTAATTTAAACAGATTTAATTTTTGAATACATCAGATTCTTTCAACACTGGCAACCCTTATTATCTGGAACTTAGTAACCCCCCTCCTCCCCTCCCCCCCCCCCCCCCCCAAAAAAAAAATTTAGATAATCGAATGATTCAAGATATCAAGTTTGAAATACAATATAGATAAAGTAGTTAGGACTTCCAAATCGCATATCCATGGTATTCAAGATATCAGTAATCTAGATAATGTAATTCAACTGTACTATGAAATGTACATATTGTACAGTTTTAATGTTATCAATATATTACATGCGTTATGTCTTCTCTTCCTCTAGCCGCAGGAATATCTGTCCATGATGTGGCTTGTATGGGTATAACAACACAGAGAAACACATTCCTAACCTGGGACAGGTTGGTTTTAATTCAAGTTTAGTACAATTTGGTTTCTATAAAACTGAAGGTATACACTGGTGTCAGAGCTTGAAATAAGAAAGAGGAAGTAAGGCCCATTTACATGTATGCTCCTTAAAGGGGCCTATAGTCACAGATTTGAAGTTAATATTTTCTCAAATTTTCTGTATAATATAATGTTTTATAGCATTTCACACGGAAATACTTTCACAACGTAAACTTTGTCCTTAATAACCCGGTGAAACATAAATGTTTTTGTAAATAGGGCACAAACTCTGTTATTGTTAATGTTTAGGTTTCACCGGGTGTGTTCAACTTGTTAAACTCTGCACACATCACTGAGTACGGACTGACAATACTGGTGAGTTGGTTTTGCTTTCTCACATTTCTATACTCTGAATTTTAAGGATTATAGTTTTAATACACAACAAGATTTCTACTTTTCTTCAGTATTAAGGATAAAGTTCACTTTGTGAAAGTGCAAGGATATGTGTCAATCAAACGCGTACCAGAATTTGTAGTTTCAATAATTTCCAGATAAAATAAGTTTCTGAACATGCTTTTATTATATTTCTGTGTGAAATGCTATAAGTCATGATATTGTACAGAACATTTGAGAAAATATTAACTTCAAATCTGTGTCTAGGCCCCTTTAATAAAAGCTGATCGTTTTTAGGTTAAAAATTTTTTTTTGATCATATATACGTGTCCAGGACAAGAGAAGTGGCATATTGCTTGATTTACGTTAAATTTTCTGATAATGTAATGCAGATAAAAATTTATGATAAGATGAGGTATGTATTTTGATTTTGACAAAGTTACATTAAATGTCATAAATCAGAATAATTTCCTTTTTGATAGAAATAAGAAAATATAAGAGTTTTGACTCAAACTTTGCTTTAAAAAAAGATTATTGTACATTTTCAAAATTGATACATGTACAATGATGAATTATATTATAAGCATATCATAAATCATTTTTAATGTGTGAAAGTTTCATTCTTTTCCTGCAGTTTTTTTTTTATTGCATTTAAAATTATGCTAACACACTTTTTACAACAGATTTTGTTTGATATTCTATGAATCCATTTTTTGGGGAAAATTATTTCTATCTCGTAGAAAAGTTTTTTTTTTTTTTTTTTTTTTTTTTATTAAGGAATTAATTATTAATTAACTTTTCTACGAGATAAAAAAAAGTCACGTGACATCTAAGGGTATGGCGGCTTAATTTGAGCTCCAGAGTTTTTGGTCAATTTAGGGCATTTTTAGAAGGATTTAATATTCGTACCTTGGTTTATTGTGTCCTTTTGTGCCTGGAGAGTGTTATTTGTGATATTTGTGCATATTTCTGCATTTACAATGCCGTCAGACACGAGAAGGAAAACCGGGCCAAGTTCTAAAAAACAGACTGAGGAGTGTTCACAGAAGAATCCAGGTAACACAAAGTCGCCTAGTTCTCCCAGTAAAAAAAGTGTGAGCGAACCGATAGAAGAAACAACCGTTAATCGGTCTATTGTTGACAGCTCTCAGTCTCGCTCTATTGATGACATTAAAACAACTGTTGAAGCTATAAGAAATGATCTATGGGAGGGTGATCAGAGCGTAATTTCAAAATTAAAATACGTTGCAGAACAAAGCGAGAGCAATTATGACGACATATCTTTGCTACGTCAAGAAAACACTCAACTGCGGAGAGAACTGGAATTACTACGGTCAGTTGTAATTCGAATGGACAGAAAAATGTCTCTTATGGAACACGAGGTTACGGATCTTAGGTCAAGGTCTATGCGAGACAATATCCTTATTCACAATTATCCTTACGAACCCAATGAGGACCTACCCACATCAATGCCAGTAACTTTTAAAGAACTTCTAGGGGTGGATGTTAGTTTTGTAAGGATTCATAGGAATGGGGCACGCCCACAATACAATTCTGACCGACCTGTATCCATTACTGCAAAGTTGACCGACCGTAGTAAAATTAACACAATTCTTTATGCTCAAAAGCTAAAGAAAATTGCCAAACAACCATTACCCTTCTTTATTACTACACAACAACCTGCATCCATTGTATCCGCTCGAAACAGGGTTTATGATACAGCAGAGTCTTTGCGCAGCCAAAACATCACTGTTAAGATTCAAAAGAATCAGATCATCTTGCCCAATGGCTCCAGTTATAAAGATGACATACCATTTCTATCAAATGCGGACGCCTTATTGGTAACGCCTGAAGAGACAGAACATCTAGACTCAGTTGAGACAAAAAACTCGGACCCCATCAAAAAGGACGGCTCGGAATTTATGGCTTTCGGTGCTCGAGTTAAGACTGTGGAGGATGTCAAGAATATGTACAGCAAGGTTTTAATAGATCCATATGCAGCAAGTGCAGATAATCGCATCTTAGTTTATAGATTTTCTACAGTAGATGGTACCGTGCACGAAAATTATCATGATGATTGTGAACATGGGGCAGGGCGCAGACTTTTGCGATACATGAGAGAAAATCAAATTCACAACACAGCTTTCGTCATTACAAGATGGATGGGCGAAGCCCATATTGGACCTCAAAGATTCGCAATCGTGGAACAACTAATAAACGAAGTCGCTAATTCCATGGAAATTTGACTTTTGAAGCCATATGCACGGTAATCTGACAGTACATAACTTTAACAATAATACAACTTAGTAAAGAACTATTATAATTGACATAATAGGCGTTTTATGAAATCTGGCCTTTATGATTTTGTAAATATGTTTTTCTTTTCATGAGAGAATACGAATATTAATGCCGTCTTCATTTCAAATTTTAAAATATTGAAAGTTGTGTTTAAAAAATCTTTATTTTTGTCAATAGAAATGCAAAAATCCGGATTTAAAAATAATTTCCGACTTGGAAAATATATTTGTAGTTTTCCGGAATTTAAATGTTCACTCTTTTTTGTTTATTATTTTATCTTCATGGCGGCATATCCGATATGATTTATTTTTATAAATTGTCTCTGCCCTTCCGACCAAATCTCTAACAAGTCCATATCTACCTCTCTATGATGCATGTGTCTTTATTACTAAACCCTTCTCCAATCTTCTCTTCTACCTTTAGAGCAACTTCTTTTCTGTTTCTCATTCTGCATGTTTATGAGTTAATGATGGTAAGTGAATGTTTGTCCAAGTGTTTTGCAACAGTTCAATTTCATATATCATGTCTGGTGTTACAGTAGTTTCAGCAAACTGTCAGGGTCTGCATGATTATAAAAAGAGAAAAGATGTACTCCAATATTATAAGCAATTTCAATGCAATATTCTGTGTCTACAAGATACTCATTTTACAAGTGATATGGAGAATGATATAAGAAATGAATGGGGATATGAGGCATATTTTAATTCTTTTTCATCAAAGTCAAGAGGTGTAGCTATATTTTTGAATAATAATTTTGAGCATAAGGTTCATAATAAAATATCTGATGATGCAGGGAATCTTTTGGCTCTAGATTTGACAATTGAAAACAAGCGTCTGAGCTTAATTACAATATATGGACCAAATGAGGATACACCCTCATTTTATGAAAGACTATCAGAAATTATAAAAGATTTATCAAATCAAGATGTTATTTTGGTAGGAGATTTTAATTTAGTTTTGGACCCAGAAAAAGATTATTTCAATTATCTTCACATTAATAATCCAAAGGCAAGAAGTAAAGTTTTAGAAATCATTTCTGATTACAATTTCAGTGATATTTATAGAGAAATGAATCCTGATGAAACAAGATATACTTGGCGTAAACCTTCCCCATGTAAACAAGCAAGATTAGACTTCTTTCTTATATCAAGTTCTTATTTAAATGGTGTTGAAGAAAGTAAAATTTTGAATAGTTATAAATCTGACCACTCACCTATATATTTAAAGATTAAATTAAATGAGCTGACACATGGAAAGGGTTTGTGGAAATTTAATAACTCACTTCTTCAAGATATTAAGTATATTGAAACAGTCAACAAAGTTATTCAGGAAACAAAAGAAAATTATGCATTACCTATATATTCTAAAGAATATATCAAAGATATATCACCTGCAGAAATTCAGTTTACTATAGATGATCAGCTTTTTCTTGAAACACTCTTAATGGAAATTAGAGGTAAAACCATTTCATTTTCTAGTTATATAAAGAAAAAAAGTAATGAGAAAGAAAAACAGCTAATGTCTGAAATTGAAAATCTGGAAAAAGACTATGATAAAAATATCCAAACAATTAATGATAAGAAAAAGGAATTGGAAAATATAAGAGACCACAAACTTATGGGAAATATCATAAGGTCTAGAGTAAAATGGATGAATGAAGGAGAAAAACCTACTAATTACTTTCTCAACCTTGAGAACAGACACTATACAAATAAAATAATCCCTAAATTGATTAAAGATGAATCAATAGATTCGGAAGTAACAAATCAGAGAGACATTCTTCTGGAAATTGAAAAATATTATAAAATACTCTATGAGGCTAATTCTGCGGTAACAGAAGTTGATTTAAGTGATCATACTTGGGATATTTCTGCAGAAAAACTTAGTGATACACAAAAGAATAGTCTTGAAGGGGAAATATCTTTGAATGAAGCATTACTAGTTTTAAAAAATATGTCAAATGATAAAAGTCCTGGAAGCGATGGCTTTACAACAGAATTCTTCAAAGTGTTTTGGAAACAGCTAGGTAATTTCATAGTAAGATCAATAAATTATGGTTATAAAAAAGGAGAGCTTTCTGTAACACAAAAACAGGGAATTATCACTTGTATACCTAAAGAAGGAAAAAGTAAATTTTTTATAAAAAATTGGCGCCCAATATCTTTACTAAATGTTGTCTATAAAATAGGTTCTGGCTGTATAGCAAGTCGAATGAAAAATATCTTGAACACAATCATAAGTTCAGACCAGACAGGTTTTGTACCCGGAAGATACATAGGTGAAAATACTAGATTAATTTATGATTTAATGCATTATACAGAAGAAAGAAATATCCCTGGATTGTTGTTAATGATTGATTTTGAAAAAGCTTTTGACACAGTTTCATGGAATTTTATTGATAAAGCTCTTACATTCTTTAATTTTGGGCCTTCTCTAAGAAGATGGATTTCAGTATTTCAATGTAATATTGTATCAGCTATCAATCAAGCAGGTCATTTATCCAATTTTTTTAAACTAGGCCGTGGCTGTCGTCAGGGTGATCCAATTTCACCATATTTATTTTTACTATGTGCAGAAATTTTAGCTTTAAAAATAAAAAATAACAAAAAAATTAAAGGTATTAAAATTGATGAGGAGGAATATTTAATGTCTCAATATGCGGATGATACGCTAGTTATACTAGATGGAACAGAACAATCCCTAAGAAACTGTATTGAAGAAATAAATAAATTTTATAAATTATCAGGACTTAAAATTAATCTCTCTAAGACACAAATAGTATGGATAGGAAGCAAAAAGTATTCAAATGAAAGATTACTTAATGAAATGAATTTCCAGTGGACAACACAATTTAAAGTATTAGGTATTTATTTTGACGTGGACTTAACTAGAATTCCAAAACTTAATTATGACAAAAAATTGGTTAAAATTAAGAATATAATACTACAATGGAGTAAAAGACGTACAACTCCCTTGGGTAGGATTTCACTTATTAAATCACTACTAATAGCACAGTTAAACCATCTCTTTATTGCTTTACCTTCACCTTCTGAATGTTTTGTTAAAAATCTAAATAACGTTATGTTTAATTTTCTATGGAGATCTAAAGTGGACAAGATAAAAAGAAAACAAATTACTCAAGAGTATAAGAGTGGTGGATTGAATATGATCGATATAAATAACTACATTAAGGGCTTAAAATCATCTTGGGCACAATAAAAAACTCAAAATTGACAATAAGCCCATTTTTTACTCTAAATGGTTTATCAATGGTGTAATATTTATTTCAGATTTGTTAGATGAACAGGGAACTTTTCTAAAATTAGAAGAACTTCAAGCAAAATTTAATATAGAAACCAATTTTTTAACCTATGCAAGTCTACAGAAAGTTATAAAAGTAGCTATGGCTGTAGAAAAAGTAAACAAAGAAAGATCAAACCCAAAGCCCATTCTACCTTTTTATTTAAAATTATTCTGTTTAGCTAAAAAAGGAACAAAACCTATGTATAATATTTTGAATACAGAACATGTAGTACCTTTCTCAAAAGTGAAATGGAGTAAACATTTTGAAATTCAAGATTCCCTATGGGAAATGCTATACAAAATTCCTTTCCAATGTACAAAAAGTTCTAAATTACAATGGCTACAATTCAGAATAAATCAACATATCTTAGTTACAAATAAAATTTTATATAAAATGGGTTTGAAAGATACTAAATTGTGTAGCTTCTGTCAGACATGTGAGGAAACAATTTTTCATATTATGTGGGAATGCCAGAAGGTTCAAGAACTTATAAATAGTTTTACCATTCTTTGCGAAGCTCATAATATAGAATTTCCAATAGATAGTTGTACATTCATACTAGGAAACCCAATACCCAATAGTAAGGAATTAAATACAATACTGTTATGTATTAAATCATTTATATACAGAACTAAATGTCGTAATGAGGTTTTGAGATTACAAGGATTACGTGGAGATGTTAAAACATTACTATCTACCATGAAATATAGCGCAACAAAAAGTAATCAAATTAAAGAGTTTAATAATAAATGGAAAAATTGGCTTTCACTTATGTAAGACCCTGCAAATAGGCACTTAAAGATATTTTGCACAATCCTTGGACATACTCTTACCAGTACTTTAATGAACAGACATTTATCTTTGATCATGCTCTTCTTTTACCATTCTCAACCCCCTCCCCTCTCTCTCCTTCTTTCTTTCTCTCTCTCTCTCTCTCTCTCTCTCTCTCTCTCTATCTCTCAGTTGTCACAATTATAATTTTTTTTGTTTATTTGTTTATTATATTCATTAATGATATAATGTTGTAATCCAGATTATAGACATGTGTGTGACAATTGGTATTAATAAAAAAAAAAAAAAAAAAAAAAAAAAAAAAAAAAACTTTTCTACGAGATAGAAATAATTTTCCCCAAAAAATGGATTCATAGAATATCAAACAAAATCTGTTGTAAATTAATTAATTATCTCGTAGAAAAGTTAATTAATAATTAATTCCTTGACAATTTTTCGTAGAACAACTGGAAAACCATTTCACAACTTCATAACTTGGCAAGACTTGAGATCTAGGAACATTGTCAAAAGCTGGAATAATTCATTAAGAATGAAGGCAAGTTCATGTACTTTGTATGTATTTAATATGCATATTTCCTTGGAAAATCCTTTTTCTAGAGTTAATTTAATTGCTGTTTATTTTAAGATTTATGTTACTGTCGACCGTCTACAGTAAAATATGCTTATGGTAAAGGGCCAGTGATGAAAAATTTTGTTAATCGTTATAAACTTAACACACTATATCCATTAAGTGTACAATTCAGTTTCTTAAGTGTTAATTATGAATTGGCCTTGAATATTATAATGAATTATAAGTATTTTGCATTTTTGCTATAACTATGTTTTACTGTACTACATGTGAATTTTTAAATT